CTAACTAACTGCAGCACTTACATTGGACTTATAATGGTTCTTATCTACAGAAAGTTGTAAAGTGGCTTATTTGATGAAAGTGCACTTTGTTGTTTCTTGTTCTTCTGGGTTTGTGTCCTTATGGTTGAAACGCTCTTATTGTAAGTGGCTTTGGATAAAAGCGTCAGCTAAATGACATGTAATGATTTAAAAGATGAACATTAGCACTCATCTTCCAGCAGATGGAGCTGTGCTGTTTCTCCTCTTCATCTCCTTCAGAGTCCAGAAGTCACTAAAACAGTCCAGTATCACATGACATGTGTCATGGTCAAACATGTTAGAACATAATGATCACTTTTAGCATAAGATTGTCTATATTGAAGCTTGACGTGTGAAAAGCAGAATGACCCAACGTTTCCATTTGCAGCGGAGTCTAAAGAAAGGAGGGCGAGTCAACTTGCTCTCACACAAACGCTGGAACAAAGGAACTGTCTGTTACTTCATCTCAACCTTCATATCTCACTTCGCAATTTGTCATACTGGCCACTGGAGACGACCTTCATGTGTGTGTATAAAAGCTCAGCGCTGCTCGGAGACGCGTCTCCACAGAGCTCTGTAATACGTGCGCGTGTATTTGACCTCCTGCTAGCAAGAAATCAATTGACTTTTACAACTTTGATCATTCATCAAGACTTTGTTTTTATTAGATAACATAGAAATAAATGATTCTCTTCTCCCGAACTAGTCACAATGAAATATTCCACAAGAGTGTTGCTCGGTGTACCGGTACTAGAAATACTAGCGACGTGTCGGTCGCCAACGAACCGGCTCTGAGAGCGACTCTTTGACGCGAACGACGGGAGCCGCTTTGTTTCTCTCTCTCTCAAGCCGCATTTGATTGGTCAATATGTGTGGGGGCGTGTCTCTCTCTCTCAAGCCGCATTTGATTGGTCAATATGTGGGGGCGTTTATTTTTATCACTTTGTAGAGTGTATAAATAAAAGTGTATTAATATAAAAACATTTGAGTGTGTTTTTTTTACATTAGTAATTCATATTGCGCATAATTTTACATTATTGTTGGTGATAAATTAATTTAAGCACCAAAAATTCAGAAGAGCCATTTGGGAGCCGAAAGAGCCGGTTCTCTAAAAAGAGGCGTAATTCCCATCACTACCGGGTAAAAGAGGACGTCTGCTTTGTCTCTGACTTCTGGCCCTGATCTGCTTAGAGGGCGTGGCATCACGTGAGGGGCGTGTCCTCAACTGTGTTGCTTTCAGGAAACGTCGGCACTGTGAGAACTATGAATCCACACTTTCTATCCACCATATTCACATTTCAACTTTGATAAACACGACCTTTTTAAACAGATGTGAGGAAAGAGAAGAACGTTTAATCTCACAGAACCAAAACACGTGATGGTGGACTCGACATGTGGACGTAAAACCGGACCAGAACCAGTACCGGAAACCATTATTTAGGGTATATATCATGATAAAATACATCAACGCATTATCTTGTTTTTATTCGGCAGAGTCCTGACTACAATAAGCTGGAATCCACATTAAAATACTCCAAACACACCTTTAGCTGGTGGGGAAGAGTCACATATGACGTGCAGGTTTGTCCACAACCTTTGGACCGAGTGGGACATTTTGTCGGTGCTTGAAGCTCGCGGACGTTGGAGCCAAAGAACAGCAGCGAATCGGTGGATTATGAATCATTGAGTGAGACAAAGCCTGCAGAGTTACTGTGAAACACACAGCGAGCCAGCAAAGACACACACACACACACACACACACACACACACACACACACACACGTCTTACCTCTGCCGCTTCTCACGGGAATTATGGATTTAATCTGCTGTTTCTGCAGTGAGGAAAGTCCCCGAGCCGCTTCACCTCCTGCTTTATGTGTGAGACGTGAAACCGCCTCTTTCTCATGAAGAGTGGAAGTTATGTTGACTTCTTGAGGTGTGCGCATGCGCAGGCTCCCTGGTCGTTTGGTGCAGTGACGTCATGAACCCTGTCGGTGTCTTCTTGTCAAAGCGACCAGCGACCTTATCTGGTTTCACTGGAGACTTTTGTGGCGTCTGACGTGAAAGCTCGTGTTGTTCTGCAGTTTCTGTCCTCAGAGTCTCACAGGAAGTCCGCATGTGGCCGAGAACGGTCATACTACCCGGATGTGACTCGCCCCGCCCATTTCACCCACAATGCATCGGAGCAGACACTTGTGAGCGCCAAATATCCAAGAATGCATTTCACCTCAGCAACAGGCAGCGACGCCAGAGGGAAATAATACAACGTTATATTTAATCCACGTGATGTGACTTTGGGACTTTTCAGGCAACGAGTCAGTTGTTTGAGCGACTCGTCTGTAGTCAGTTTGTCCACATTGAGAACTATGACCTCCAGCAGGTGGGAGATGTGACGCGCGGCTCCAGACGGACCGTTTATTCCTTTATTTATTACTTGTGCACTGTTGTCTTGTCTGTCTACTGTCGCGCACTAATCGCCAAGACAAATTCCTTGTATGTTTGACATATTTTGGCTAATAAATGTTTCCTGATTCCTGATTCCTGATTCATAAGGAGTGCCTGTGCACATTTAAATCTTTCAATGCACTCAAAGTCCACTTATCAACATGGCACACTCAAAAGGACCTAAGGAACGTGAGTGAAACTGCTTTCCATTGTAAAAAAGGAGCCTGCTGTACACAACATGGTTGAACGATGGCCAGCACTCTTCACAGAGCGACAGGTAAGATAGTTTTGTTCTCAACCAATAAAATAATGCCAGTCAAAAATACATTTAAGGTGTGTGGCTAGAAATCCAAACACAGTTGAAATGTTAACACCTCTCCATCACTACCCACCCCTCTCTACTTTTTAAGGTGTTTGCCGAGTTTAATCGAATCGCCAGTAAGAATCTTGAGGGAGACTTCTTTGAGGCTCTGGACCAGTACACCCCGCGGCTCATAGACATTTTCAAAACAAAAAGAGGAACCGTTGGCCGGAAACTCAGTGAGCTGATGCAGCACATGAGCTGATGGTAAGTAGGTTAATTTTGCTTTTGATCTGTATGATACTTAAAGTACGTATGATATGAGAGGTATTTAAACAGCCTGTACATAAACATGTACATTAATTCATTTTAAATCTAAGGAGCAGAAGTCAAGGTTAAAAGGTCGGTTCAAGAATATATGGACCTTGTGGACACCAGCTTCAGTTTAACCGTACCAAACTTATTTTGTTGGACAATCCATGTGAACACATATTTAAAATCATATTCTCTAGCAAATGCTTTTAACACTAAAAATTAGTGTTTTAGAAGAGCATAAATTGCCAATACTGACGAATGTGTGTGTGTGTGTGTGTGTGTCTGTCTAGGATACAGCAAGAGACGAGGCCCTAGAATGCATCACTGTTGGTGTGTTGACAGTTGTCAGTGAAGATCCTCACGAGGGTCCACGTTCAGTGGACCTCCAGCCCATCTCCACTGCCATCATTCTGGAGGGACGTATCGTCATGGATCACATTAAAAACTTGCCTCAGGCAGTTGGTCTGTTATTTGGGCTAACATATGCTTTGCATTTGGATTACCCAAAATGCTTGCAAAGACACTCAACTTCATTCAGACTGTGATGCTTGGACTGGGAAAGAAAAACCTCCCACTAAAAGTGTTAACTCTGAAGAACAGTCTCCTGGATTAGACTAGTAAAGAGCTAAATCAACTGTCAGCAATTTAAAAGTTATAATAATGTTCTCCTGTTATTAGATAAAGTGTGATGCTTTCATGCAACTTGTTTATCTTAATTAAAAAAAAAAATTCATTCAAGTCTGTACCATTTTATGCTGGTATGCTAAATAGTGCCACTGAAGTCCTGTAGTTATCAGGTGTTTACCTGTTTAACATTGTGAGACTGTTACATGCATAGAATTAGTTCACAAAAATGTGGCGTCCATGTCGTGGTACACAGTCCAATCAAACCACAAGTTATTGTCTGCTGTTTAGATTCTTGGGAACAGAACACCGCTGAATAATAGTAATTGTATTGATTATTGTAAGGTTATTACATGTGTAAATGTTATATTGGAGAATTGGAATCAGAAGTAATAAAAAATGTCAAATGTTTTTTGTTCAGCCAAGACCTGTAAATGATGCAATGTTTTTTTTTTATAATAAATGCATCTGAATCAACCCAGAGAGTGTTCTTTTAAAGTATATTGTTGTGGTGTTTTTGCCTTTATTAGGTAACAACAGCTAAAAATAGATAAGAAATAGGGGAGAGAGAGAGAGAGAAAAGGGACAAGGACCCATTCAAGGAAATTAGTTTGTTTAATTTAAGTGAACTCAAAAAATGAGTGAGTAGTAAGTTGTAGGTATTTAGTAATTCTAAGGGGTTAAATTTGTATCAAGCAGTCCAGACAAAATGAAAAAATGAAGTTAACACTAAGCATTGTTATTAAGTTACATGAACTTAATTTTTTTGTTTTAGTTGTACTACTTGATTTAGTACTGCACACTTAAAATGAACAAGCTTTTCTAACTCACTAATCTTAAGACTACTGAGCTTAATTTTTTTGAGGCAACGAGTTTGCATACTTTTTTTAAGTATGGTCAACTAATTAGATTTTACAGTGTGGATTCACATCACATCTGCGTTCAATTCCAAACAAACCTCCTTCTGTTTTATATTAACCATTATATGGTTTAAAGGATTCATGGGTTCATGCATTAGCATCATCAACAGAGGTGTCAAGTAACCAAGTACAAATACTTTGTTACTGTACTCAAGTAGAAATGTTGGGTATCTATACTTTACTGCAGTATTTCTTTTTCAGACCACTTTTTACTTCTACTCTTTCACGCAAATATCTGTACTTTCTACTCCTCACATTTTAAAAACAGCCTCGTTACTTCCGGCTTGTCGCAGTTCAACAACACAAAGACAAAAAAACGAGATAAATCCAGATAAACGTCGCTATGCGGACAGTGAGTGTGATTGTGGTTGGATGAGAATATAAACATTTAGCATCCAGACACCCGGTTGGTTTTCGCCTCCTCCTCTTCCTCCTCCTCTTCCTCACGCAGAGTCCATGTAACGTTAGATGAGCATCTTCATGACCGTGGGTTTGTCCTAAATGTTTGATCGAGAGTCCGGCACAACACAGCGACTTGCAAGCAGTGTATTAAATGAAGTGACGTGTGTCTTAATGCGGCTTTGGAAATGAACACAAAGGGATTCTGTATTTGCTCGTGAAGCCTGAACATTCTGCTTATGTTGTAAAGGTGTAAATATAGTCAAGAAGAGTGCTTTGCAAAGGCGTCTGTTCTCTAATCTCTGTGCTGCTGAGGGAGAAGAACACACTGGGCTACTGGACCATTCTGAGGTGCGACGGCTTTCACGGGGAACTACGCAAATCTATTGGGGAGTTTTGACTTTTCCAAAAGCGCACAGAGCTGGCTGCACTTTTCACTGACAACGTGTCACCAAACTTTCATATCTTGCTGACGTTTTCGCTGAGTTGAACCAACTAAACAGTTCCGTGCAAGGTGGCGATACACACGGCATCAGCTGTGTGACAGAATGGAAGGCTTTCTCATCGGGAGGGAATATCTTCCATGTTTCTGTCAGTGGATGAGCTGGGGGATTCTGCTGTGCTCTCGCCTCCCGCAACACGCGCAGTTCTTGTGGAGGCGCTGGAAGGACAATGTGGGAAGTACTTTTCTGAGGCTGACTCCCGGCGCAGGGACAAGGCTTGGAGACAGTTTCCATCCAGAGACAACGCAGCAGACGGCACACGCCTGACAGTGACAGAGGAGGATCAGCTCATCCAACTATCCACTGACCGTACGTTCAGAAACATTTACCAAACCAAACCACACAGTTCTGGATCTCTGGCCACAAAGACTTTCCACAACCAAAAGCAATGATGAGCCTTTTGCCCTTTGCAACAACTTATCTTTGCCAAAGTGGATTTTCCTCCCTCACCTACCTGACAAACCAATCCAATCTAATAGTGATGAGATGTCGACTAATTCATGATTGACAGACTATGCAGACAACCCCCCCCAGAGAAAACAACAACAACAAGTCAAGAGTCAGAATCTCCCGCAGTGGAGGGAGGAGAAAAGCTGGAAGGAGAAGGCGTCCAATCACAGATGAATACTGGCGAGGCGCAGTAGAAGGAAACAAAGGGCCCCTTGCAGCAGACTCATAACACACTGTGTGATACGCGGCGTAACGCAGTGTGTGTTCATCTGCAGCTACACTTTGGGCTCCGACGTCTTGGTCCAGGGTAACGGATCAGACTGAAGAGCTTTTGTGGGAAGAAATGCGTAAATATGAGCCGTCATTGGCGGACTATGAGGACGCCGGACGGCCTCTGATTCATGGAGGGAGATCTCCACAAACGAGGGAACAAAGTCGTGGAGGAAAATACGGGACAAACGTGTCCTTGATGAAAAGCAGCAGTGTGGATGCACGGGGCAATAAAGTCTATGATCAATAAATAAAGCCACCAGCGACTTCCACACACAAAGACGTGACTCTCCAGGTCGTCTTCAACAAAACACGTGACTCCACCTGTTGTTCTGGAGGTGAATCGCTCTGCAACACACGCAGGACTTTACAAGCAGGAAGTGAAACCAGCGCGTCGACGCAGACGCAGAAACACGCGGCGGCCTTTAGCCTGGGGGGGAATAACTGTTCAGGCTAGAATGCAGATGTTTGTTTACTCTGTCTCTTTTGTTTCTGCTTGTTGGACTGTGTGTGTTTATTGTTGGTTTTCTTTCATGTTTTGTGT